GGCAACTGTGAAATTAGGAACACAGATAATAAGTAAAACCTCATGTGGTGCTGTGTTTCTAACACATGCTCTTGTGTAGGAATGGCTACAGATTGATTGACATGCTGATAAACTTATAGGTAAGGACAATTATATAAAATGGATAAAGCAATGAAGTGTCTCAAATGTGATCTTTTTGGTTAAATTTTGCTTTTGTAGTCATGTGTTTTAAATGACTCAGTATGGAGAAAGCTGGCTTTGAGATGGCTTGTAGAGGCTCTTTTTGAAGTCTAGGCTGCTTTCTCTATGATCCATGATGTCAATCAAAATGCTCTTATCTAAAATACAAAAAAGAGGGATGTCCACTTTATGTAGTTTATAATGAAGCTACATGAACCACAGTTCATTTTAGAATATGAAGTGGATCTGTTGGTATTCTTCTGTGAATATTTACAGGGGAAAAGACCAGAGGTATGCTATTCTTAATCATGCCTCTTGGCAGAGGAGTACTGAAATTGTAGTGTTCCTAGGATATCCATCATTAGAGACCTATATAAACCAAACTAGATCAATTTCTGTCAGGAATGGCACTGGTATGAGTCTGTTTTGGGTAGGGAGAGACTAGATGAGCTCTTAAGGTTCTTTTAATTTCAGACACTATAAGTGAAGTTTTGTAAACTCTTTAACCTTGCCCTTGAGAAATGTTTTACCTGAACATCAGTATGCATTCAACCACTGTTTATGCATCAATACTGTTTTATTTGACTTTTTTATCTGTTAAGATACTTGCCAAAACTATACCAGATTCCCCTGCAGAATTTTTTTGGTTGTAGGTACATGCTTGCTAAGATACTCGGGTGGCTACTGGAGACATACCTAGAAAAACAGTGTGACTGTTTTAGACCAGACATAAGATTGGACATCATGGTATTTCTGTGGTGTTTGTTTGTTTCCTGGTTCCAGTATAGCCCATAATCAGCTATTCTCCAAGTGACAGACAATATTTCAATTTTTCTCCAAGATGGCTAAGCTAGAAAAGAACCTTGTCTCTTAGCCCTAACTCTCATGCATTTGGTCTTTGACAGGCAATATCTGATAGTAATTTTGCTGGACTTAAGGATGGCAATATGACTGATGGCTAAAAAGACACAAGAAAAATAAGGATTTCTGTCACTGACCTTCCAGTGACTTTGTTGGAAGAGAGAGTAATAAATCAAGATGCTTGTGTATAGTATGTACTAAGCTTATCTTATACTCTGTAGTACCTTTGAGTGAATATTTCCAGGCAATTATATGACAGGGAAATTATTTTACATTTTTACCTTTGATGGGAAGGTTCTTATTATAATAACTTTTATATATAGCTTTTCTTATTATAAGTGTTAAACATTTCTGTTTAACATTTCTACAGGTCTGTGTTTTTCCAACAAAGTTTACAGATATACTCAGAACAGATTCATCCTCTGTTCTGCCTTCTTCCCTCATTTTGGTTATTATCCTGCTTCATAAATGTTTTTGCTGACAGAGCCTGTGTAACCATCCTTGAACCTAGTTCTTCCAGGCTAGTGAGGAGGATCCTAGCAATGGCTGGTTTGCTGTTGTTGAAGTGAACCAGTGCATCTTGCTGAATGCAGTATTCCCTGGGAAAGAGGAGTCTTGATGTCACTCTTAGCACTGGACAAGCTTTCAGCTTAAGAAACCAGCTGCTGTGCTTTGTGAAGGTGCAGAATACTAGAGCATAGCTCACCACACAGTCACTGTGATTGGTTTAGATTCTGTCTTCTGCTGACCTGCTTGCCATGGTAGTCATGTTACCTCCCGGCACACTTCACACAAGTCCTAAAACTTTTTATGCGTTTTATCATTCATTATTTATCTCTTTTATGCTCTAGTGTGAGAATTTCTCCTTATATTCTATTTTCTCAACTACGAATGCCAAAAATTAGTATTTGGTCTTACCCTTATAAACTTACTAAACTCTTTCCTTGGTTTTGGTGTGATTTTTTTTTTTTGGGGGTGGGGGGAAGGGAAAGAAAATACTCCTCAAGCTTTTAAAACTATAGTATACAGTTAATAATTTATAGCATATGCCACTTTTTACACAAAAAGGTGAAACAATGAATGTACTTATCATTACCTCTTGACAGAAGCTATTTAATGCCAAATAGTCTGGTAGTGCAGTATATTTGGAATCAGAAGTTCATAAACGTGGCTTAGTGGCTGAGGGTAATTGAATAGGGCTGTCTTGGTTTTCTGTAGGCATCTGTACAATAAAGGACATTACACCAAAGTAAAGTTCCTGCAGCACTTTTGTTTTCTCCAGTGCTCCTGTCTTAACTGCCACTGTAAGAAGATTTTAGATTTGCCTCTGCTCAAGTTCCCTCAGAGGTCCAGCCTAGCATCTGTACTGCCCAGCTTGTGCTGACAGAGAGTTAACATTGACTGTAGCAGCCATAACCACTTTTCCTCAAAATCATGGTCTGAAGTGACGAATTTGTTGTCATTTATATAATAATGTCATCCCCAAAAACCTCCCCTCGTCCCCATCCATTCTCTTGGGACTGGTTTGTTGATGTGTGTGTAGCGGTGTGATTTTCACGATACTGTGCGTAAGCTCTTCAAGGGTCATTCCCATAAAGAGAAGGAGGGTCAGGAGTAAACAGAAAAAAACTCAGACTTTGCCCTGATCTGTTTTTGTAAGTTGCACTTTACTCTTAGGGGGAAACAATAGGAAAAGTGGGGGGTCAGGGGGTGAGACAGGCAGAATTGAATGGGCTGATAAATTTGGAAGTTGGAAGCAGTGAGTGATGAGAGTAACAGCTTCTGTTATGAACAGGATGAGTACCATCAACCAAGAATCACGATTTTGAAACTCATTAGGAACCTCTGAAGAACTCAGGATAAGAGATCAATTTCTGAGTTCACTTCTTATGTGTCTTTATGGAGAAGTTAAGCTTAGAAAGAAATAATCTGTTTTTCAGTGGTGATTTTCCTTTTGCGGTTAGTTTTGATAGATTTAATTTCAGAACGTGAATGTAAATGTCCATTAGTGCAGCTATAATAAGCATTAATCTGTTTATTCCTTAAGCAGCATGTTTCCTAGAGCTATTCCTCTTGTTTCTTACTCTACACTTTCTCATGTCAATCAAATTATCAGTAAAAAAAATCACAAATCCCATTAGGAACTGATTATATATATACCAACTTCAAGCTAGTTTACCTCTTTGCTAACATTATCTCCAAGATTTTTAACTGCAGTCAGTCCAGCGTACTTCTGTCTCCATTAATTATGTTTACAAATCTCTACAAAGTATTATGACCTAGAACTCATCTTACTGATATTCTGTTGCTTCAGAAATAAGAGAGACCTATAAAATGGAGTAGCCTGTCTTCAGATGTAATGAACTTTGTCCACCACCTACTCTAAAAGCTCCACCACTGTCATTTCATATCTGCTCAGTTCCTCAGTTGACACAGTGACCTCCCCAAGTGATCTTGTTTTTCTTGCTTGAGTATGTGCTGTAACAGGAGTTGAAAACAGAGCTGACAAAATGTGGACAAAGATGACATGAAACAGACTGGAGGGTGGGTCATCATAATGACATGGGATAGATACTTTTGAAAACTGTCACATGAACTCCTTTGCTGAGAACATGAAGGGAACAAAGTGTAATTGTTCCAATAGAGAGTGGAACAATAGAGAGAAAGGCCTGCAAGATGCAGTGCATGTTGCAAGAAAACAATCTGTTTCAAGTATTTCAGCAAGGTAATTTTTATATACAATTACAACTGAGATAATTTATATTAACTCGTATGTATGGGTCAATTTCTGAAATAATGTGTCTAGCTTTATTTGTTTGCTGTAAGCATGCATTTCTTCCCCAGACATTGATGGAAATTAAAGGAATATTTACAACCAAGGAGAAAAACTAGTCTATGAAGCTATATAATAGTTTAACCTATGTTATATTGAAGTTTCTGGAATCCACCTTGCTGATTTTAAGTGTTTAATGAAAACAGAATCATTATCTCCTCCCTAGGCAGATAGATGACTCCTTTTGGATTTAAACACATGCATCAGGCGAAGGGTAGACCATGTCTTTCTGGAAAGTTCACATCTACAGGGTTGTACTTTGTTTTTGCAATCTGGATAGTTAAGAAAAAAATGCCGTTCTGAAAAAGAAAATGAGAGCAAAACCTAAAGCTTGATGTTTTCTGTACTTGGTTTTTAAAAGTAGCTTTCAAATGCTTGTGTCTTTACTGCATTTTACTTGCAATGCTATTAATTAAACCTTCCTGACTCCCTCCTAAACTCTTTCCCCTTCAGGGAGAGGTCTTTTGTGACTGTAAAATAATGGGGCAGAATTCTAGCTAGTTGGTTTATAAACATCTGGAAAAAACATAGTTTTTTCCACAAATTGTGGAAAGTGCTGAAACATCCCTAACCACAGTGATGCCACTGGATAAATCATTCCAAAGTGACTGAAGGTGGTAAAAGACAAGGCAGCTCTAAAGGAGAAAGAAATGAGTCAGGAGAATAACTAAAACTAAAGCTACTTCTTCACCACTAGTTCTTTCCAATTGTCCACAGCCAGTAAAAATGTTCTCTGAAGCAAAGTGCCTTTTTGCTTATTGATTTTATGCAGACAACTTTCTGTCTTACAAATCAGAAAAGCAACACCTTCTGTTTGTTTTGATTTGTTGTTTTTTTTTTTTTCTTGAAGTTACTTACTTTTTGTTCATGTCTTATAGCCACAAGTATCCCTACAAGGTAGGGATAGCTTGTCTAGTTTTCTTTCATATGTGTTCATGCCTTGCTTCATCAATTCAATATGCTTGCATGTGTTGGGAGAGACTGCAAGTTGCTGATTTTTATGAGGTTGACTTTTGTATCATTGAAGTGTGATGAGTTTATCATGTTTTTATGCATTTTAATTTCATTTGGGAAAAAAATAAATAATTTTTACCTCATTGTGTATCTTCTGAAAACCAATTTAATACTAACTTCTTTTATTGTGCAGAGCTGGTTATTTGCCTCAGAATATTCCTTTGGAGATTATCAGATACCTTTCAGAGGAAAAAGATTTTCTGCCTTGGCATGCTGCCAGCCGAGCTCTTTATCCTCTAGATAAATTGCTGGACCGCACAGAAAACTACAACATCTTCAATGTAAGATATACAGTCTTCCTCTCTTTCTTCCTCTAGTTATTCCTTTCTTTCTTTCCCTCCCTCTCTTTGTCAGTCTGTTCTTTCTTCCTTTTTTTACTTTTCATCCTTTCTCCTCTTACTCTCTCCTTTTATTGCCAAGACTTGAACTGTTCCCCATTCAGATACTGTAAATGACCTAGGGATATTAACTTTCTTCCTAATTATTCTTTATTTAAACATAGCAATTATCAAGCTTTGGTGCATTTGCATTTGAACAGTGATGACTGTTGTTTGAGGCACGTATGATTAGTAGAGGGAAAGGTAATTATCCCTCCTGTAAAATGTTATGACAAAGTATTTAACTTAAAAAAGCCAAAGTATTCTATTTCCAGATTTTCTCTTTTGAGGAGCCCCACGGTGATATTTAGGTTGATGCACAGGCTCAGCAACACCAAATGCAGGCACAACAGAACAGAACACATGCAACTGAAGCAAAGATTTGTAGGCATTATTTCATCCAAAAATCCATAGTGAATTGAATGCAGCTCCCTTAATTAACAAGAATTAGATCACCATTGAGTCAAAGCCCATTCATAATTGCATCCGAAGGGACATCAGTAGCAGTTCAGAGTAGATAATTAAGATAGACATGACAAATATTTTAACATGTTATCTGAAATAGTAAAAAAATCATAGCTACACTGAAGCATCGTTTATGAAGTACATGAGATTTGACTGCAGCCAGTAACTATTATGAAATCTTGGGATTTTTATTCACTGTGAAGTTTATGTAGTCTACATATTTTCAATGGTCAACATACGGTAACTTTATGTAATGTTGTAAAGACTTCAAATGGAGGAACTTTTTAAAGCCTGAAATGCTTAAGGATGCTTCTTGTTAAATATATATTTGTTTGTGTGTGACCGTACACACCATGCTCAGAGAGCAGGAAGTTAGAAGTAGCTGGATTTATGTATGTATGTAGAAGTACATACATACATATCAGAGAATCACAGAATATGTTGAGTTGGAAGGGACCCACAAGGATCAAGTACACACACACACACACATACAAATATACACCTGAAGACATGGAAAATTATTTTTGTAGAACATATACTACAGATTAATAAGGACACATGGAAATTTTTATGAACCTACAGTGTAGGTCTATCTGCAAACCAGAGCCGTAATGTAAAATGATGTTGAAATGATATGCCTATTTAGTCTGTTGTTAACTGCACAGAAAAATTCTTAGGAGCCTGTTTCACTTTTAAACTTGGTTGTGTAAAGAAAATACAATTTTAATAAATAAAACCAGTAAAATTCACAGCTAGGTTATGTTTTATCACTACGGATAGGAGTTTTGAAAGCAGAGGTGATAGCAGAAGAAATAAAAAGTCTTTTTAGTCACAGAATAACGTATCTGCTAGAAAAAGCTGCACTATGAATTTTCTTATGTGTTGTCATCTATACATGCCTATGCATCTGCAATGTTAAAATAGATGCTCTCATATGCAGTTCTGTATATCTCAGTTCTCTTTTTCAAATTGTTGAATTCCACTGGCAAAAGATTACGCTGAATACAATGACAGTGGTTTTCTTTAAAACTGGTCAGAATACATGAGTATGTCTCTTGTGTAAAAAGTAGAATTCACTAAAATAGATCTTGGGCTTATTTTGTTCTTTAAGCACACTGGGAACCTAAACTTATAGCATAGTATCATTAAGTGTACAAAGCTTATTTGCAGCCACATTGTTATGTATTCCAAAGGCAATTGACTGTACCCAGATAATGTTTTTGCTATGGTTATGGCTATTAAAACAATGTTCTTTTAAAAGTGAACATTCAAGATGTAGTCCAGATTGGCCATAGAGTAAAAATTAAGCCATTGACACTCTTGCAATTTTTCAGCTGTGTATTGTGACTGCAAAATAGCATGTAATAAACTTTTGAAAGTGATGGATTTTTTAGCAATAAATTGTCTTATACTAGGCATCTAATCAAATAGCTGTTCTACAGATTGATTCTTACTCTGGTGGTGAAGGGGGATTATAAGTGGACAAGTTGCTTTGCTAAATGCAAATCAAAATCTTTGGAGTTGGACATTTTTTTTTGAGGGTGAAAGGGTTAAACCTCAGTAGTCAGTAGTATTTCAGTTTCAAGTAAAAAAACCCATGATTGTTAACATTAAATATATTTTTCTTTTTCCCCTCAGGAGTATATTTTAAGACAAGTTGCATCAATGTATCTGAAGCTTGGATGGCCAATGAACAATTTAAACAAATCACTTGTTCAAGCATCCTACCAACATGAGTACTGTTATATTTCTTTTTTTTATTGTTTATTTGTGGAATATAGTTGAAAAAATGCACTCTCCTAAAGTTTAGTGTCATCTTCAGCATGTCATAATCCCCTAGCTCTGTTGCCCCTCTGTTTTTCCTTTCTGGGTTAGAAGGAGAGCAGAAAGATGCTGTGAGATGAATTCTTCTTTCCTAAGTTGGGAGAACACGGTTTCCTAAGCCCTAACTTAATATCTGACTGCACTGGATATTTGAGAACTTGAACTGAAGTGACCATGGAGGTTAGGAAAAGTGTCTGAGTGTAAATGGGGGCTGGTTTTGGTCCACAATCTTTCTTTAATTATTGCAGCAACTGAAGGCATAAAGTTGAAACTGAGATTTGTAAAGCAGATTGTCTTTGATATGTTGCCCAACTGCCGGTTGCTGTCACTGTTATAAGAAATAACTTTTTATAAACATTCAAACACATTCGTTAATGCAACTGTATTGCTTTCTTTAATTTGGACAGAGAGTTGCGTCGGGAAGTCATCATGTTGGCCTGCAGCTTTGGTAACAAACACTGTCACCAGCAGGCTGCAACATTAATCTCGGATTGGATTTCTAGCAATAGGAACCGGTAAGTGGAACTGAAATGTGTATCTTACATTTCTCCTACTGAGAGGCAATACAGCTGGCACGCTCTTCCTCTCCTGCCTGCCCCTGTCTGCAGTGCCCTGTTTTGCAGAATGATACGAGAGGAAGCAGAGGTTGCTGGCTGTCATTTAAAAATGTCTGTGGGGTTTCAGAATGAATTATTTGACTTTGCATGTATGAGTGGGTGGAGGGGACACCCACGTAGCCTCTGCTCACTCCTGATAAATTATTGTCAGATAAGTCTACACTAGAAGGTCAGAAGATGGGTTTTAAGGAGGGGTTTAAGGAGAGAAAGATGAGTGACAGCACATTAGCAGACAAACATGAAACCTATGTCAGGGCAAGAGAAGAGAAGGTGCTAAGTTATTAAAGAAGTGAGAGAGGTTAGAGGCAGAAGGACTGAGAAGGAAGGAAGGAGATGTAACAATGTGTATGAAGGAAATGTTATGCAGTATTTAAGGATGAAGACTTGGAAATTAATGTGATTCAGGAATACATGGAGAAGCTCATGTAAGGTTTCAGAGAGCAGATAATATGATAGGTGATGCCTTGAGCGTTAGCAGACCACAGTGGCTTGACAACTAATATGTAAGACTGTCCAGACACAGGTTTATTCAGCTGAGGCAAGACAACATGGGCCATGGATAGTGTATGATGTTTATCTTTTAAAGGCAAGCATCTAAGAAATATTAAATTACTGAAAATACAAATATTTAGGTATGTAGTGATCTATGGACAATGAGATAAGTGCAAAGTATAGGTTAAGACCACAACTTCTTGAGAAAGAATAATGAATTTTCTGATTATGTGGAATGTGGATGTGGAAGTATTTGCACTGTATCCATTTTTACATTGCATGATACTTTGGTTTAAAGAAGAATATTTTACTTTCAAATAAGAAAAGAAAGATGAAAAAAAAAGGTCTCTCATTGTTAGTCCCAGTCTTGTATTAGCTCTGCAAAAGGATCAGATCTCTATAGCCATATAAGCATGCAGGATTTTTTAAAGACATCTTGGGCTAATCGGGTGTTTGTTTGCAATTAAAATATCTCTGTCTGTCTTTGTAATCTTTAAAAATCCTTCAGAGGCATACCCAGTTACATAAGTATCTGAGTGACTTTTAAAACCAGCCATGAATTGAGCGTGAAGGGAAATTGCATTCCTATAAGGCTTTGAAAATTCTGGGAAAAAAGTGAGCTTTGAGTGAAACTATGACTATGTACCTTTAAGTAAGATGTGTCTGAGGAGGATTTTCTTGTGTGTGGTGATACCAGATATATTTACTAAGAAATATATACCCAAGGGTTTTATATGAATCCTTAGCAGCAGCAGCAACAATCAGTATGAAGCTATTCAAAGAGGCGATTAAAGAGAAAGAATCATTGGAAACAGTCCGCAAAAGTAATTTACTTAGATATTCATTTGCAAAATTAGTTAATCAAACCTAGCATTACCTATTAGCATGCACATCAATTGATTATTCAGTGTTAAAAAGCTGTCACCCTGCAAAGCTACCTACCCTGGTCTTCATCATTTCCAATAGGATTGAGAAAGGAGGCATCAGAAAAAAAAGAACAACAAAACACAAGCTTATGGCTTTACTAGCAACAGCAAGATAGGAAAGGAATAAATTTAAGGAGCCATCTGAAGATTCATCTTAGCCTTTCAATGGGGCCATTCTTGGTAGCAGAAGATTGTGGTTGCCAGCATATGACAAGTATTATGATAAAAGCATCACAGCAGTGCAGAGAAGGAGAATAGCTACTAAGTTAAAACAATGTGTTTCTCTAAAAGAACTGCAGAGTTTTGAAAAATAGCTGCAACAAGTAATGTAATTACACAATAGAGGTTGACAGTGAGCTGATAAATGGGGGCACAACTTGCAGAGATGTGATTTTATTTTTTTTTTAAGATTGCAGGATTTGTTCAGTCCCCCACTCCAGAACTTACCAGTTGCTAGTCTCCGAGCATTCTTACATCCTGAATGTTACTAATATATGAGCAAGACTCTTTTCCTATCTGCTTACATTGAAATAACATTACAAAGACTACTAGTAATAGCAGCTCAGGAGACATAAAATCAACTTGTGTTTCACAGTAACAACATTTGTAGGGGTATGTCAATTTTCTCTCAGGAACATTCAGATCCCTGCTGACTCAGAGGTACCTCATAGCGCCTTTGCTCAGTTTAAACCAATTTAGGCTGAAACCTGAAAGTAAAGCAATGGCTGTTTTCCCTGCTTTTCTACCAAGAAAACGATGGTGATTCTACAATTGGAATTAAATTAGCATGATGTCTGAGTCATACTTCTGCCTCTTACAGCATTTCAGAGACAAAAACTATCTCAAGTGCAAAGGGCAAGCAGATAAGTACAAGATCCATGCAGAAAGCACATCCAACAGGTGCCATTTTGTATTCTTTCCCATTGATCAAATGTTTTGCTCAGTTTGATGCCCTTAACAGCTGTTTGTGAATTTACTGCAAACGACCACCTCAGAATCTGTAGGAATCCCTCAGAGCTTGTTTCCTCACAAGGAAGGGGAAATGCTGCTCATCTTTCTACAGACTTCTCTGACAACTGGTGAGAAAAGTTGGTGACAAGTACAGAAACTATATGTAACTTTACCTGTTCCCCTCCACATCAGCAATGACTCTGTAAGTTCTTGGTTTTGCCCTTCCCTTTTCTGAAACAGAATCAAGTGATTGACTGATGTATTGCAGAAACCCTGGTCTTGCATAGACAGAGCACAAAAAAAAGTGTTCCAAAGAGATCAGAGATATTTCAATATACAGATATAATTTGAGTTTGACTATGAGAATAAAAATAAAGGCTAATTTGCAACTTTTCCACCCATCCCCTCCCAGAAACCTTATTCTAGAAGATCAGATGTTTCGTACAATGAGCTAATTCACAAGCAGTGCATGTTGGAAGGAACACAAATTCTTCAAAGCAGTAGAGACTATGGAATTAGGCTTGTGTTCCAAGATTTTAATCAATAGAAAATTAGGGTAATATTAAATTAAAATGTGGTATTAAATACTGCATAAGTGCACAGGCAGTAAATCATGTAAAGAAGGTTTTTGATTCCCTAGCAGTTACTGCAGTTAGTTCAAATAAGTATAACACAGAGTATACAATTAATGGTACTGAAGAAATGCTAAAGTTCATAACTTTTTTTGGCCACATATTTAATTGATGACTTTTTAGAAGTTCTTTTGAAATGTTTTTTCTGTTGTACTTGTAGCATTTAATTATGAATAAAGTGTCAGGTAGTAAATACAGTAACATCTAACTATTTTACCAGCATATGCCTACGGTTGCTGTAGGTCCAGAAATTAATTACCATCTACTCTTCACTGTAAGGAAGTGAAATAATCACAGTAATCAAATAGTGTTTATATTTCATAATATGTTCTTTACTGTGCAAATAATTTTCCACTGTTCACCAAGTAAAATAATGGTAATTCATAACACAAAGTGAGAGGTCCTCTTTGTGTTTCCAGCACTATTTGAAAAAGCCCTTAGATTTCCAACTATGGCACTGCAGATTTTCTAATGGAATTACTGAAAAAAATAACTTACATGTGATCTGCAACATTAGCCTTTATGCATGAAAGTCAGAGGCTCTGAAGATTTGAATTTCTAAAGTGACTTAAGTGTTGCAGTGCTTCATTTTTTGGTGCCTGGCTCACAGGGCAGAATCAGATGCTTGGAGTTATGCTTCCTAAAAGGGGATTTGGGAACCTCTAAAAATGAAGTTGGTGGCAGCCACCACTGAAGAGCATCTCAGCACGAGATTGTGAAGCACAAAGGTCCCTCTTAGGGTCAAGCACTACAGGTAGAATGATACCTGTATCAAATGAATACATTAATGGCGATCTCTCTATGAGTATGGGGTCCTTGCAAAAGATGCCTTTCAAAAGTGTCACTAAATCAGGAAAAGGACTACTTATTTTCAAACACAGCTGGTAGAGAAGCTGCTCTTCAACTCTGCTTTAAACAGTGGTACTGAGATTCCAGCCGTTTACTGTGCTTCAGTTTAGTACCTTAGCCCTGTGTCTGCCACATGCAGAAGGCAAACCTGATGACCTGTCTGTGAGGTGTTTGGGACAGTTTTAAGATGCTACAACACACTTTCCTCCTCTAGTTGAAGTTCTACCTCCAGCATTTATTTCATTAGCAAGAGAAAGAATACAGCTCTCCAGTCTAAAGATGAGAGCGTTCATATGAGGGAGAGAGGCTTTAGCACCTGAAATAGCAGAACTCCTTACTATGCAAAGGGCTTTAGGTGGTATTGCTCACTACCACTTTTTCAGGGCAAAACACAACATAAAAACAGGGAATGTAACTGAAACAGAAATTTGACTCTACAAGGAGGAAACCAAACACATAACATCAGAGCTAGAAGAGGCTAAAGATACATCAGGTTTTACCGGTTTAGGAATTGATATATTTTATTCCTTGCAATTGTTAAAAAAGAAGCGATTATTTCTTTCCACTGAAAATCTGAGATTAGACCTCAAAGTATGTCTTACACTGATTCATTTAATCAATTAATTTGAGTAATTTTATTTTTTTCAAATGTCTAATGGGTCCAGCATATTTTGCTTGAAAGTTGGTATTTACTTCTGACTTGTTAGTTAAAATTAAGGCAAACATTTTCACTCTCTTAAATTGGGATATATGCTGCTTCTGTACTGGAGCAATGGAAACCCTTGAAACTTTCATGTTGATGTCCAGAAAATACAGAGTAGAAAACGTATAACCATGTTGAAATTTCCTTTGTAGTTTGAGAATGTAGTTTGGTATGCAGCAAACAACAGAATGCTGTACAAGAGAAGCTACTGTTGGCTGAAAATTAAGATGTTTGCTTCTATCTTCATTTAACCAAGCTCATCCCTGTGAAGCTTTCATGTGTGAAGAAATACATTATTCACACTCCTTAGATATAACAGCATTGTGGTTCAGCCTAAAAAATTAA